CCCCTTGTTAACCCTCTCTAGGACGAATCTGTTTGTTTTTCTAGCAGTCCATGGTACCCTCAATACCCTTCTCTAGCACCACAGCTCAAAGGCATCAATTCTCCTTCTATCCTCCTTAGTCATTGTCCAACTCTCTGATGTATAACAAGTGAAAGCAAAGACCATAGCCTGTATCAGACGCACCTTAGTCGCCAGAGAGACACCATTACTCTTCAGTACTTTGGAGAGGTCCCTAAGAGCAGACTTTCCCATCGCAATACGTCTTTTAATATCCTGGCTACTGGTGCCAAGAATGAACTAAAGCGTAGTTTTATTTTTATTATTCCTAAATTTTCCACGTTTGTAATTTCATAATGCTTCTGTTTCTTTCCTAGATAGGCACTTATGGATTGTGTTTGTTTCTCTCTTCTGAACAGAATGAATCTTCAAATTTGATACAGCACATCTTCGCTTTCTTCCAGTCTTTACCAGATGGACTGTGTGAAGAGAATGATGGTTAAGCAAACAACCAATGTATCTTGGAAGCTGAAAATAAAAGACAAGTAAAGTCACACAGTTCAGATAACAGTGTAATTGGACATTCACCTGTTTGCCATTTCACACTTCCATGGACGGAAAAACTCACTCACCTCCCAGCATGCTTTGCTACTCTTTTACTTACAGCAAATCCATAACAATGAAACAGGTGACTTTCATGCTGCTGTCAGGAACGATCTAATTTCAGCTCTGGGTGACTGATTGCAATTGGCTTTGCCTCATCTGATAATTAATCTATGTCACCATTAATTGGAAGAGAGAATAATTACTGGCGGTGTTGACAGTGACTGCGCACTTCCCCAGATTTCCCCATCGTGTTGGCCCAAATAAAGGCTTTGCGATTCAGTACTTAAAGTTTGTGTAAACTGTAACAATACCTATGCCCATGTGACACTTTCAGACACTCTGCCTAATGTACTTTTGTTTTTGTGTTTACCAATCTTTTTTCGCTCCCTGAGAGCTGTCTCTCTCAATCACTCCTCAATGTTCTATCTTAATTTTGTGGAAGTTTAAAGTTTTCAATGAGCTGGAGATGAATGATTAATGAATAAATTTAAATGCTTCATTTTGTCCATGGATCATTAGTCAAGTCCTTTGTGGTAAGGACCTGAGAAAGGAGGGGAAATTATTGAGACATTAGCCTGAAGCAAGCTTGAGGTAAATATTATGCAAAAGAGGAAGCTAGAAAGGGAGATGGTCACACACACACACACACACACACACACACACACACCCCAGGAAAATGGGGCACTGCAAATGAACAACTTTGCTGGCCTGGTGAAGGAAGTTCCAGAAAATTTCTAATCTCTGATCGCTCTCAGTCTACTTTAATGGGCACATCTGGTTATTTGTTCCCCAATGTCTACAAAACAGAAAACATGTTTCAGTTAAACTAATTGTTTACAGTGCATTACTTAACTGGATATCCAAATCCTTCTTCCATTCATTTGCATGGCAGCGTCTGGATTCATTGGGACGTGCCACATCCGGAAGCAAGTATATTCTCCGGCAAGATTAGCCACTGCTTCTAACTAAAGGTGGATGTTAGGGGTCTGGGCCAGGTTCTACTTTTAATTTTTATATATTTGTCTTTGGAGGGAATGATACTGGACCTGGAAATGTATTTTTAAATCTCCTCTACTTTGAAGTGAATGTATTATCAGAAAATCATTTTTAGAAAATTGATACAATCAAGTTTAATGGGGACCATTCAACTATACTAATCTGTAATAGTATAGACCCTGGACTGCCAAACATAATTTTGAAGGAAGTTCAACCAGAGTGCTTCTCTTAGAGGCAAGGAGGACAATACCTTATAGTTTGGGCATATTTTCAGTAGAAGTTAGACCTTGGTGAGACGTTGTTCTGTGAAAGGTGAGAGTCAGCAAAACAGAGGAAGACCCTCAACAAGATGGATTGACAAAATGACGACCACAATTAGCTTGTGTGTGACAGAGATCAGGACCATGGTCCACGATAGGGCAAGGATCTGTTGTTCATAAGAGCACCACAGAGGAGTCCTAGTCAACTTGATGGCACCTAACAAACAAAAACAATCTGTACCTCACTTTACTCTTCAAATAGATAGGCAAGCACAGACCAGCAACAGTAGTGAGTACTTTCACAGCCCTCCAGGAACATATTATTACAGACACAGTAACTGAAAAGCTCATTTAATGTTGACATTTTTAGTCTGAAAAGATGATGCAAGCTTGTGATATGTAAGCGTAGAAGGGCAATATGAGCTGAGTAAAAATACCACGTGATCCTCTGGTATATTTCATTGCCTTTAGAAGTAAACACATACATATCACTCATATATTCTCTAAGGAGATAACATTTTACTCTCATTTCAAGAGTGATTCCAATTTCTTATCAGGTACCAAGTGTTGTCAAGTCAGTTCTGGATCATAGTGACCCTCCGTCAGGTTTCTGAGGATGTAAATCTTTACAGAAGACTATCTTTCTCCTAAGGAGCAAGGGTGGATTCAAATTGCCAATTTTTCTTAGCAGTACAATACATAACATACTATAACTCTGGGCTGTGCTTTCTGACATGATAGTACATGTTTAATTCATTCTTTTCTTTGAAATATATTTGCTGAAAATCTTCTAAAATCAGTCTACAATGTTAACAATTAAGAGAGGTATAGAAAAGTGTACAGAGGTAGTAGCCTTTGATTACATGTTATGTAGTGTGGTGGTATTTTTCAAAGTTCAATTTGAAATTTAAAAATAATCAAAACCTTGTTCCTTTTTAAAAACTTAGGAAAAAAATGTCTAATAATGACTTTCAAAACTCACCATTATAGTGTTATATCTCTCATAAGATGGCTCTTGGTTGCATAATGCAGATTTTTTTAAAAAATTTACTTTATTTCATTATTTTTTGTGTGTACCATCAAATCAGATCTGACTGGTACAGGAGGAGATTGTTCCTCCTTCTCCAGCAGAGCAGCTGGTGGACTCGAACTGTGCATCTCTGAGATTGCAGTTGCAGCTTCTTGCCACTAGGCCACCAGAGCTCGCCATAATGCAGATTTTTGCTGTAACTTCCTCTGATCTTGGTGCCACATTCTTCTTCATAAAATCCAACCTTTTCTGATTTATTCACCATACAGATTAAATAGGTATGGTAAAGGTATACAGCCTTACCACATTCATTTCTTAATTTTAAACTATGCACGTAGGAAATAGAAATTCACCCAAATAGCTCTGAGAGAGTATACTCACCTAGATAATTTGGAAGTAAGTCAGCACATCTAATATACCCACCTGAACAGTATTTCCTCAAGGAGGAAGGCAGGCAAGGGCCAGCTGGAAATCAGGAAGCATGAAGCAGAGATCTATAGGCAATGATGAGGGCAGATGCAATCCCACTGAATGTCCTCAGGCCCAGAACAGAGATCTGTGGACAATGAAGAAGTTAAGTAAGCTCCCATCCAATGCCTTTAAGCCACCAACCACATCTAAGGGCCCTTGATTGTGCCCAGCACTGGTAATAAAGATCCAGCTGAGCAATGGTCTGTACCAATACCCTCATTCAAAGTTCCATTTTGCCTCACTGCCATGGGCTTCAGCTGAGGCTAGAAAAGGGTGTCCTGAGCCAGGACATTTGTTTGCCTGATTGCCTTTATGGTTTGCTGTTAAAGGTAAAACATCTATCTGTCAGTTCATTATATTGTAGAATGATTTGCATATTGTCAATTACTTTCTACTTTGGGTATATACAGGCTGGCATAGTTTGTATTGGCTCCTATTAGGATAGAACTTGTCTGTCAGTCTGCTGTACTGGTGTAGCTTGTCGGATGTTGTAAAGCTGGAATTTCTGCCACTAGTGTTTCAAGAACCAGAAGGGTCACTCATGGTGCATAGTTTGCAACAGAGCTCCTAGATTATGAGGAAAAAGGATTGGCTATCCACTTCTGAAACAACAGGTGTTCAAAACCCCTATGAACAACAGAAGAACGTAAGTAGTTATAGGAATAGAGGTAGGATCTAGATAGGAAGTTACTAAAAAATGAGGGGAAACAGCTGAAAATAACAATAAAGTAATTTGGAACATATGAAGTATGACTGTAGGAAAACGAAGTTGTGAAAGGTGAAATGGAATGCATGAAGATTGACATTCTAGGCATCACTGACCTAAGATGGACTGGCATGGCCACTTTGAATCAAACAATCTTATGATCTACTATTCAGGGAATGAAAACCTGAGGAAGAATGGTGCTATATTCATAGTTAAGCAATTTCAAAGTCTAGCCTGAAATACAATGTTTCAAGTGATAGAACATGATCCATGCAGATTCAAGGCAAATGTGATAATTATTATTTATTATTATTATAATAATTTATTATTATTCAAATATATGCACCACCAACTAAAGCCAAAAGAGGAGGAGTTTGAGGATTTCTACCAACTTTTGCAGTCCAAAATTGCAAACATGCAATCAAGATGCATTAATAACTATTGGTGAATGGAACAAAAAGAGTTGGAAAGAATGAAAAAGGAACGGAAGTCAAGAAATGAGGACTCTGAGATATAAATGAGGCTGAAGACAGAATGAACTTTGTGTGATTAATTATTTATTAGCTACTAATAGATATCTTTTTTTTTAAGTACAAAAAGCAACTTGGTCCTGACCGGGTGGAGTGCAAGGATTCAATTTGACTAAACCTGTGGAAAGACTATTGGAGAAGCACAACATCAGCAGTCAAAACCAAACGGAATATTGATTGTAGGACAGACCATGAGCAATTGAGCCCATGTGCAAGGTCAAACTGAAGCTGAAGAAAATGAAAACTAGTTCACAGAAACTAAAATATGGCCTTTAGCCTAAGAGAGTTGAATTTAAAAAATCAACTTATGATCGGCTTTGAGGCATTGATAACCAATGATCAAAGATCAGAGGAATTGTGGGAGGACATCAAAGATATCATCCATGAAGAAAGCAAAAGTTCATTACAAAGACAGAGGAGGAAGAAAAAACAAAAATGGATGGCAGAAGATTCTAGAAAAATTGCATTAGAGTTTAAAGAAGCCAAAGCAAAAGGAAGAGATGCTCAAGTAAAAGAGCTGATCAGTTTTCAAAGGGCAGCTCAAGAGAATAAAGCAAATTATTATTATGAAATGTGCAAAAATCTAGAGTCAGTGAATCAAAAGGAAGGAATTGCTGAGTTCAAGACTCGAGTTACAATATTGAGAGATGATATGGGAAAAATCTTGAATGATCCAGGAAGTACCAAAAGAAGGTCGAAGAAATACACAAAGTTACTGTAACTCAAAAGAATTAGTTGACACTGAAAATTTTGGGTAGGTGCCATATGAACCGGTGTCAATGGTAATGAAAGATGAAGTTCATGCTGAACTGAAGGATTGGCAAAAATAAGACACCAGTCATCAATGGAATACCAACTGACATGTTTCAATTAACAGACACAGCCCTGGACGTACACAGCAGAC